GTGTTTACATTTATCCGGTTAACTTTGTTATGCGCCTTTACGCACGCCTAAAACAGCGTTACGCGTGTAGACATCTTCGCTTTTCTGGGATTTGTGCCTCCTTTCCGTTCATGTCCTCTCCCCCGCTTCCCTTTCTCACGGAGATGTTTAGCGGTCTCTGTTCCCGACCCGAGCTTTACAAATCCGAGGCGATAAGCGTCCAGACTTCAGGCTCGGTGCTGACCCGGAAGCTGAATGAGGTCGCATGTGCTGGTTATCTTGTGCAACGGCAAAACTTAGAGAGTCCAGACTTTGTTAAAGTACTCCAAGAATGTGTCAGGGAAGATTTTTAACTGAGAGTTGTGAACGCGCCCTCTGAAGGATGAGGCGCAAACTGCACGAACAATTGACACAAGGGGATTAAAGGTACACTCCAAACAAAAAACACAATGAAACTCGTTGTCTTCCTTAACTGCAGTGTGATGTATCCATAATGATGTTTCCCTGCGATGCTATAAGGTTTGAATGTGTTAAAGTGGTAAACACCGGGCTACATTTGTTAAAACTCAGCAATGGCATGCTTTCCAAACACTGTGAAGCTTCTGCACAGAATTTAACAGTTGTCAAGCAGACTTTGGTAGAAAGTAGCCAATAGTTTTCAGTGAATCTCCTCACAGTGGTAAAGATTATTGTGAGTATGTACATGACACTGATTTAGGTTTTTTTTTTTTGTTAAAGGGACACTCCACGCATTTTAAATGTTGAAATCTGTTCATTAGCAAGGCTGAGTACTATTAGGCATGTGAAAGCAGTTGTATAATGTGATGTAGAACTCCAGAGTTTGGTTAAGTAAGAAAAAATAACCTTCATTGCATTGCACATTACTATTATAATCATAAAAAAACCACAACACCAGGGCTGGAAATGTTCTCCATATTCTGACACTGAAAATGTGATTGGCTTGTTGTAGTTTGTCCCATGTTTCATTGTTTTGTTTTTTTTAATGCCATAAAGTCTGTTCCAAACTGAGTCCATGAAGTTTCAGACACATGACCCATAAAATAGTTCTTTTTCTCAAAGGGCATTTTTTTACATGTCACCGTAGGAAAAGCAGAGGTGTACATAATAAAATTAATGATGGTTAAATTCCATTTTCCATTCCATTTAACTGCTTCACTATTGTGCACACTGTCATGGCTGTGACACTTCAATAGAACAGAGTCATCATTAATGTTATGAGTAACACCTGTGCTTCTCCTCTTGCAACAAATTAAAATGTCTGCTGTGAAAAAGGCCTGTTATCTTTTAATACAGCTGGCAGCCTTAGGATATTTTCCACAACAACTGGAGTTCACACAACTGTAATCTGTGCTGTAATCAATATGAATATTGATATGATAGAATTAGTAGGCGTAATGCTGTTCAGATACTTTGGGTTTTATTTTGTTGACTTTAATTTGAAACTTCCGCTGCTCCTTTTCCATTTCTTTCTCCTCTGGCTTACATTTGTGTCAGACCCTGTTAATAATTAAATTGTCCAATTAATCACATCATTGTCACTAACATCAATATGCCACCTGTTCCTTGTTAAACCCTCTCTGTCATGACTCATTACTTTTTCAACTCAGTCATCATGGATCACGTTTGGCTGATATATCTCCAGGCGTTAAATAGAACTGTGCAGCAAAGTGTGATTTTTCTGGTCCTTTTTCGTATCTGAAAGATTATTTTTGTAAGCAGACTGCAAAGCATGAAGACCATGTAGAAGTGGACACATTCAAATCACCTAAATGCAGAGGTGAGCTTATATACAGGCTTAAATATCTTTCTCAGTAACTGTGACTGACTACAGTTACATTTATTTTGCCACTTAATTACAGTACCTAGTTACATATAAGTAGTTATTCCCCAACACTGACTGTACGTTACCCTTGGGATTCTCAACAGCCATTGTTCCTCAGACAATTCAGGGTCTTTCACAACCAGGTAGAAAAGAAGAATCTCATTTGTTACAGGAATATGGAAAGACATAGGATACTGGACCATGACCTGCATAGACAACTTACAGGCAAAAACCCAGCTGGTCTTTAAGGCTTAGTTAGAACCATTCAAAATGCCTGAAGGTGGCTTGAGCATTTTGTTTTGGTTCTAGAGTGAGTCCTTCCCATATAGTTTCACACGTACTCATTATTGTGGACAGCACCATAGATAGCTTTCACTGTGACTGTAAATATGGTCAGCCTGTTGAAGAGCTGACAGTGCATCACCCGACTGACCACAGGCCCTTGGGCCACAGGGTTAGATTACATCACATATCAGCAGACCAAACATCATCATGGCATCACCTGGAGATCAGCTGCTGCTGGACACCAGGATAAGGCCCAAAAGTACTTACCATGCTTACCTATAGACCATATACAGTACATGCAGCCTGTGAACACTGCAGTGGTCTTGAAGCCACTTCTGAGTGAGGGTCCTATACTTTGAGTGTTCCTGACCTTCAAGAGGTATGGAAACTTGACTTACTCTTACCGTGAAGCTATGTCTGAGCATTATTTGTTTGAGATTATACCAGATCTGGACTTTTTAATGGTTAAGTAAAATCCCCCCTAACTCTACCAAAGCTCTGGAATCTTACGGCGTATAAAAATAGGTTGTGTGGATGTCTGTTGATAATGTTCTTTGCACAATTCATACTGCGATGTACAAATGGTCTTTGAGCTTGGTCGATTGAGCCATGAGATCACTTAACCTTTTAAAGACCTTTTGAACAGTGCCATCAGCCTAAAATGTGCCTTATAAATCTTTAAGCAGGCCTTTTCCCGAGGGGAAGTGTGTTCCAGAGCAAAAAAAAAAAAAAATGTGACTATAAAGGTCATTAGCTGAAAGTTTGAGGCTAGAGCGTTACTTGTCAATATCTTCACATCTGAGGAGACATTGGCAGCAGTACCAGATTGTAAGTTTACTGATTCTTGTTCACTGATGGCAATATGTGTAAACGGTGTACAGTTTGAGAAACTTGTTAAAAAAAAGTGCATCAGTACTCTGCAAATTCTGTCTAGACAGATAAGTGATGGTCTGGAAACCTTAAGTATACGCTGCTGGAATATCCTGTTATGGCTTTATCTTTAGTTCCTCTATTCATTTTACTGAAAAATCAACAGATATCACTGAAGGAAAACATTAACACGAGCAACTGTTGGACATCTGTGGGCTAAATGGTAAAAGCAGCGGTAGCCTAAAGGTTAGAGAACCAGAACTGTCTGGTCGGCTGCTGATTTTTCTGGTGACAGTGGACTCGGTCAGTTACAGGTCCTGGCCATGAACAGCTACCATCAGTGTGCCCTTGTGCAAGACTTGTAAGCACCAGTTAATCCAGTTCAATGTTAAGCTTATGGTCCCAGGCAGCTCCCAGAAGTGAATACTATATAATGTATGTGAATGTGATGCAGTGCAGGTCTGCAAAGTAGCATGTTCAGCAATTTTGCTTCCTGGATAAGTAATGTTATTAAAATAGACTAATAAGGACTATATATTTTGATACAAATTGAGCTTACTGTACTAAAAAAGTTGTTCTAACTTTATTGAGATCAGTGGTATTATTAGCTAAATTGCATCTAAGGCTCTTGATATGTCACATTAGCATAAATCGTTTAGTGAGCTGAAGTGCAAGCATGTGCAGTTCATTCTACAAAGCTTGATTCAAATTGACATTTTGTAACCACATTCATGGAGTAATATTATTTTGCCAATATTTTCCTCCAAGGTGGTGAAAAGAAAATGAAAACCGGTGATCCATTAATCAAAGCACACCCAGTCTCTTATATGATATGTCTGGGGAGTCAGGTGCTTAGATTCATGCACTCTGAGCGATGGCTATAAGTGGCAGAAATGACTACTTGTCATTGAAGTTGTGGGAATGATCAATCATGCCCCAAGGTTTGGGGGGTGGCATGTTCCATGTGGCATGATGGGAATGCAAGGCACAAAGAGCACGTCTCCCAGCAACATGCAGAGTGCAAGAACAGCAAGCTGGGCTGGCAGGAAGAAAGTATAAATGATGAATGGCCCCACACTGTGCAAGTACTTGGATCCCTCCTCCTCCTCTCCCCTAGCATCGATACACCATTTCAACATGTTGAACCACATATGTATGCTTAATTCTGGTTTATGAAGAGGGACTGCATTACATTTAGGAACTTTTATGGCATTTTCTCTTATTGAGAAGTGTTGCATTTCTCTTATAAGAAGTCTTATTAAGTGTAAGAGAAGGAAATAATACAGAATAAATACAATAAATGTTGGTTACCTAAACAATTCAAACCACAGCTTTTCATAAGTATAAAAGGTAAAATCAGCAAAATGAACCTAAAACAAAGCTTAAGCTGGTGCACGATGGCCATCTTCTGTTTGATTACTGAACTGCAGGTAGTGTTGAGCCATAGATATCCAGCTTGAGTTGATTCCCTTATCTTCTCTCTGCCAATATGAGGCACTGCTTCTGACTGGCTTGTCATATAAACCTCCCAGACTACACATTTCTAATGCTTCTAGCCCATGTTGAAAGAAGCTAAGCACTGAAAGCAGACAAGAGTGCAAGCTTGTGGAGGCATTAGCAGCTCTGGGCAGGTTCCATTTTCTGCAGAGCAGGTCACAGACCAGTTGAAACTGGAATAAACAAAGGATTTTACACAAATTTAAAAAATTTTATTAGGAAAAAAAATGCTCCAAATGTTATTGCTACAAATAATCAAAATGTTCTGTGAAAACTATGCACAAAAAAAAAAAAACAATATAAAACTATGCATGTGGAGGAAAATATATGCACTTGAATATTTCCTGAAGCTACTGTGCATACAGTCATGATCAGTTACGCATCACAAAAAATAAACAAAAACAAAAACTGAGGGAAAGACCCTCCATGGGTGGAACTTGTTTAAATATAAACATAAACATCTGCCACAGCTGCTTTTAGAAATGAGTCAGGTTATATTAACAGCAACAAATAGTTAAAAGTCAATAATTAAACCTTACATAATAGCATAGATGGCCTTCATTGTTCTTTGCATATTGTGGTTCATTTACCACAAATGACATTTCTGCTGTCTGAACAGTTTCTGAACAGGATGCTCACTTTGGATAACTTCCCTCAAGTTTCTGCAAACAAAATCAAAACACTATACCCTTCTGAAAATATTCAATAAAAAGTAACTTACAGTAAAAATGACTGCACTTTCCAACACTGATCTGGCCCTTTACAAAGGTTACTGTTCAACCGTTTTATTATTTTGCTGTAACAACTGATGGAACAATAACTATAGATGGCACTGAAAAAAATGTGAAATTCAACTTAATTTACTTCTGGAGAGAATGAAATTCAACAGGACAAAACATCTGTAAATCTAACGCTTAAAAGTCAAACATTAATTGTTTCAAGAAGCTAAACAGTGACTATTTTATGGAAGCTAATGGCTTAGTTAATATATTAAACAAGCCCATGTAGGCAAGTATGATGCAGATCCAGCTCAGGACTGGAGGTAATGAACTAATCAGAAGTAATGAAATCCATTCTTAGTTAATAACACAAATGAAATGACACTCCTATGTCCACCTATATTTCTTACATGAAAAAAGAAAACTAAGTGAAAGTGATTAAAAGCATTTTATATGTAGAAAAAAAAAATATAAATGCTGTAATAAAACTTTGGGAGATAAACACCTCCATTTCACACACCAGCTCCTAAAAGCTTCATCACAATATCCTGTTCTGCACAAACACTGCCTCTGACAACATGTGTTCTTTGACTTCACCTGTAATACACCTGACAGTGGAGTATTTAAGTGAAGTGCACATCCAGACTTGAAACCAATCCTGCCTAGTCTCTCTCCATGTTCTAATTTTTCAAATAAAAATACCAAAGGCATATTGCCCACTGTATAGCAGATATCCAAGTTGCAGTCTCTCATATGCAAGACAACCTACTGCTAAATGCTCGTACTTAACAGCTGCTATCAAGAGACGTCTAGTGAAACAACTGGTGTTTAGAAGAACAGAAGAGCATTATTAAGATGCAGGGGGAAACGGTCTATATTGTAATTAAACAGTGTGGACAAAATGACAGAAAGAGGACAGTGACTGAAACTCAGATGTTATGAAATATGCCCCAGCCGTGCGCCATCCAGCTGTTCTGTGGATTTATATAGTGTGATGACAAACAGCAGTGATGGATACTGTGATTTATAAAGAGACAAAAGTGAGAAGAGAGTTTTCTATATAATAAAACATAAATAGAAAAATAAGCAGGCCATTTATTAAAAATAAACTATTTTGCCCACAAAAGAGATAAATAGAAACTAAGTTGTCATGAGTTAGTTTTCTGAACTGGAGTCAGTGGAGCTGCTGGAGGCAGAGTCTGAAGAACTGCTGCTGCAGGGATGGTGAGACGTAGCTTGACTGCTTTTCTCTGGATGAAGGCAAGTAAAGAAACCATCATCACCAATGAAATGCAACAGATGATAATAGTATTCAACTTCTTTGGGTTCTTAGCACCTTGACATCAAGTAGTTCAAAGGAAGGTAACAGAAAGGCTTTGCACTTACTTTGAAATTTCTTAAACTGCTTCTGCAGACAAGATTTCACATACTTCTCCAGCTCACGCAGCGTGGACGGCTTCAGTATCTCAAAGTCAATCTCAAACTCGTATGGGTTGGTGCTGCACATTGAGGGTTCTCGTGACTGAATGATGTCCACCACGTGGCCCAGCTTCACGCCAGGTAACCGGTTAATGTCCAGGCTCAGCTGGTGCTTCTCATCATAAGTCATCACCAGAGATTCATCATCTGAATCCCAGTCTTTGCTTCCCTTCCATGGCTTCCTACAATTCAAGACATAGTAGTCAAAGGTCTTTTTGGGGGATAGGTACTATGAATAAAGCGTTTCACTTGCTCTCTGTAAAACATTATACCTGGAGCTAGAACTCGAGGCACATTTAGAATTCATACTGGCTTTACTTTGCCTGCTCTCCTCTTTCTTGTCCTTCTCTTTCTTCTTCTTTGGCTTCATTACAGGGACTTCAGAGAGTGCAGCAAGCTGTTCATGAACTGCTTTAAGCTGGGAAGCAAAGTGCCACATAGCAACATTACAATCCCAATGAGACAGCACTAGGAAATCAGCTAGCAAGCATGAGGGGATGCAAGTGTAAGAATGTCTCACTGAAGATATGCTAGGTTAAGCCCAGCTCAGCAAATGATTTTATCAGTCAGTAATATCACCTCCAAATAACTGATGATTGATTTCTTGTGCATAATTTGTTGGCCATGTGATCCCATTGTTATATGTTCCAGTGACATATTAAAAATAAGTAAACAAGCCAGATGTGGAATGTGTGCACAAGAAACATTAACTCATGTGGAATTAAATAACATTGTGTTTAACAGCATACGTAAGGGCTTTACTGGTAGCGTAAGCCAAGCCACTTGCAAAGAAACTTCACATCATTAAACAGGTCAAATGATTCATCAGAAAAGAGGTGTAACAAAGGTTGATGTCCATGTGTCTGAACCCACCTGTTCTTGCAACTCGGCAAGCTGGGTGGCACGCTCCTCTGCCGAGTTGGATTTGTCAGAACCGGAGGAGCCGTCATCACTTAGCCCACTGAAACATGAACTTTTAGAGGACATCGCACTCGCTGGGGAAATCATCTCCACAGGCTCATCTGGCATCTTTGCAAACATCTTCTCAAACACTCCCTGAAGCAAACATACACAAAATGAAGAAGAATCAAGTCACATGGGAAGCTGAGCATTAAAGGAAAAGTGAATGCATTGTACAATCTTTAAGTACCAATCATTCAAAACACACCTGAAGCTTTCTGGCCATGGAGACAACAAAGTGATTTGGAGGGTGGTATTTGTAGCAGTTAGAAAAAATCAATCTAACATCTGCAGCAAAACCTTGTACATCCAGGTACTCGCCCCCATCCATCTTTTTCTGGAAATTAAAACTCAAGCTTAGCAAAGACATCAAAAATAGGTGAACAACTACCAGAACACATTTATGTGCTTAAATATAATATCTACACTGTACATACTTTGACAGTGCTGAGATCCATAGGATATTTGACGACGTCATGGTAATTGAGAAGGTGCAGAGCTTCAGCGTCGACAGGCTCGTAAAAAGGCCAGGCGTAGGCTGAGTGTTTATTAGACAGCATCTCCTTCAGGATACAGCTGCAGTACTTGAGCTGTTCACTTAGTCCGCACTGTTCAGTTTCTTCAAAGTTGCTCTTACAAGCTTGTTCTGTGCTTTCCTGTCTCCTTTTCTGTTGTGATAAAGTGCTTGTGACCGCTGAGGACAAAACAGTGGTTGCATCTTCCTTCCTTTTCAGCCCTTTCTTCTTCATCGTCACAAAACATAACACAATAAGGTAAAAAAAAAAAAATCCTCATGCTCTCAGGTTTTAAAATAACATGAGTGTCTCACAAATTTTAACTCACTTTTGTGGGTGTCGTAGTTCCACCTTGTCCAGCTACATACATGTTGTGAAAGGATAAAGAAATAGATATTTTATTATACACAGCAATATTATTTACATTTTCTAAACTGCAGCATTTTGGGCAAAAGAAAGAGATATTTAACTGCCACTTGCTGTTTGTTAATACAGCTTTGTGCTGCACTGTGCAGATTTTCCCCCTCTGATTTATGAAACCATACACAGAGATCAGTTTACAATTTACGTTAACAGCCATATACATTTCCAAATGCACTATAATTTAGGTGGAATGAGAATAAGAGATTGCAAATTTTAACTGCAGTAGAAGACTTACAGAGAAGAGAAAAAATACAGTCTGGGGTCCTGAGCAGTAGCATTTCAAACAGAAAGAAAAAAGCAGAGCGGCAGAGGGTCACCAAATAAATACAAACAGAACCACAATGTTTTGCGCACCTATACACACACACACACACACACACACACTTTTAAAGGCAGCTGTCTTTGTATAACCTTTCAATTTTTGTTAAACAAGATTACAGGATCAGATGGCAATAAATCTGAGAGTACAGCGTGTGGTTTCCTGCTCAGACAATCACATACACACAGTTCTGAAAGTGTTTCAGTGAATTAGCCATTACCTGAATTGATTAACTGAAACAAAAAATGACTTGTTTGAGGTTTATATCAATTAACATGCAGACCTTTGCCTTGTTTGTATCTTTCGTCTAATTAATTAGCAGCTTCGGACAGCAGCACAGAACTACCTGGACTTGGCATCAGTAACTGAATTTAAGGCTGTTGTAAACTCACCGAAACTCATTTTTAAGTCTTCATATGTAATGTAATTAATTGTAGCACTGTGTGCGTTTTAATGGCCATCTGCTGATTGTACTACAACACTTAGTTTGGAAAAAATATGTTTTTGTATAATTCTGGTGAATTATTGGGGAAAAAAATTAAGTAATTTCATTGTTAGACAGTAGTGTCATCAAGATCACTCATCATTATGGACAGGCTCGAAACCCCATCAAAATGAATTATTTTGCATGTAGGAAGCAGCATTAGGCAAGAGAAGCAGAGGAAGCTGATGAGTGAACAGGTGCATCTTCAGTGTTCAGACCAAATCGCATACAACTACATAGTACTTCATTACCTGATGTGCTACCTTTTTTGCCCCTCCCTTTGGCTGCAGTACGCAAAAGCTCCACTTCATTCTGAGGCATCTGGGCAACTTTTTGCAAGAAAAGCTTTTCTAAGGCGAGGGCCATCAACACTATGTCATCTGTAGGCTAGAAGACAGATGAAAACCTATGAGGATTTCATGTCTGTGATGCTAACCAGCATGATGCATTTCCAATCAAGGGGCTCCTCACCTTGTTATAAATGTAGCAGTTGGTCAACATAGTGTTGATGTCTTCCAAGCATTCACTTGCACTCCAGTAGTAGTTGTTTTCTAGTCGTTTCTTGATCGTACCCAAGTCCATGGGAGATTTTACTATCGTATGATAATCCTGATTAAAAACAAGAGTCAATGTGTCAGATGAATATGGTCTTTTGTTTTTTGTTTCTGTGCCACATAGACATCTGCCAAACTTTGACTGATGAAGAAGAGACTGTTATTGCATAATCCTTGGAGTCAACAAGCAAATTATAATTTCACACTTCCTGGATCATTCCATCCTTTTTCAATTTTGGCCTTATTTATAGTTTTGGCCATCATTCCTACAGGTCAAAAACATGTATCTCTATACTCATTGTGTTATGTTTTTTTAAGTGGGGCATGTGTGACAATTAGGAGTCAACCACAACCACGGGAGAAAATAAAAAAGAGCAGTGAACAAAAAGAATAACAAAATGAGAGGAAATTTGAAGATTTCAAAGCAGTTTTGCTCTCATGAAAGAGGAAAATGGATGCTTTTCCATGATGCAACACAAACACACACAGACAGTTACACATTGTGGGATGGTGTAAAAACCATTCATCTACAGTGGTTCAGGTATCCAAATCCTGTATGTAACTATAATTGTAAACATACACACCAGCCTTTAAAAGAGATGTTTATCCCAAATGCAGTGGGTATAAAGATTGTATCTCAAAGACAAAAGGCAGCAGATATGGGTTTATTTTATGATTAATTTCTTGTGTTTCTGACATGCAAACATCAGGTTATGTGGGTACCTAAAACAAATCACATTTCTGCTTTTGTTTTAATAAACAAATTAATCATTACAGGAACTAATAATCAAACACTACACACTGAAAGCAGCTTTCAAAGTTTCACATCACACATATGCAAAGTACTCACTGGGAGCCCAAGAGCGACTGCATCCACAGGATGGTAAAAAGGCCAGGCGAACTGGTGCCGCCACAGGGACTTGATCACTACATTCTGCATAAACTGCAGCTGGTTGGTCCTCCGGCCCGGTTTGTCAGGATTGGTCACCTCGGGGGGTGGAGGATTCACAAGCTGAGGAGGGTCTGAGTCCATGTCTGTTAACATGATGGTCTTCTGAAAATTATGTAGCGGGTGTCTCAGCTCATCAAAGGCTCTGAAGTAACATCAGCCCACTTCATCCATAGTTGTCATACCACACACTTTGACCTAGTGACATAAAGGATTATGACAGTGTGCTTCTCATGGTCCAACTGAAAGATACACAAAAAACAATGTTGTCTAATGCAACTGTGGTCAATTTACTTTGAGACTTTAGCTTTGACATAGCTGCCATCAGACTCCTAAACAGCTGCCTCAGGATATACCTCATATAATTCCATCTGTACTGTTTACATACTCATTTTGCACATGCACAATTTCACACTCACTGTTGAGTATTTACACTCCACAGCTCCCAAGTAGCATACATTCTCTCTGCATTATATTTCACTTGTATTATGCAGCATTCACGTGGACGGCAAAGTAAGAATTTCATTGTACAGGGTAACACGTTTCCTAACTGTGCATATGACAAATAAACACTTTTGACATTTATTTCATAAACTATTTTGACCTCTTTGCACACTTTTTTTTTTTTTTTGCAAATTTACTAAAAACCAAAAACTGAAGCTTCTCGTTTACACAAGTATTCAGACCCTTTGCTGTAGCACACCAAAGTGTGGTCAGTTGCATCGTGCTTTTTAATTTTACTTGAGATGTTTCTCAACTACAACCTGACTGGAATCCAGTGTGGCACACTAAACCGGACGTAGTTGAGAAAGGCACATATATAATGTCCAATATTTCACAAAACACATCTAGACAAAATACAAGCCATGACGTTCACGGAGCACGGTGTGGAAACACTGGGGAGGTAAGGTGAGGTCGAGGATATCAACCATCTTTAAAGCTGTGAGTGCTACAGCCAACGCTGTTGTTAGCTTAAATTAAGGTGGTGTCATCAATCCATACTCACAAGAAGTTATTATAAATACGGAATACTCGTTAGCATGACATTAATTAAGTTCTACACTGCTTGCTTAAAGTTTGCTTGTTGCAGCTAACTTACCTTACAACTAGCGTTAGCTGTTTTCTGAAATAAACTGAAGGCAACTATGCTCTTGATTCGCAGGGCATGTCGGGAAAGTCACCAGTCACACAAAGCAAAATACTTGAAGTTTTACTAACTCATTTTCCTTATGAAGGCACAGGTTTGGGGACTGCTTTACTTCAGAGAGAGCTAAATCCAGTACAGAAGCCGAACAAAAAAGTCCAGTTATCACCCCACATTGTAGCGCTACAACTCCTTTGAAACTGAAAACGTTGTTTCTTGCTAAAAACAAGCCCGTTCCGAAGACGTACTCTCCTCAATCGTCATCATCATTGGCGGGAGGTTTACCCAAATAGAAAATGGATACCGCCACCTACTGTGCCGGGGCGTATGAACGCCAACAAAACAATTTTCAGCAGGGCTAAAATAACAAAGATTTTCTTATAAAATGATGCTTTATTTTCTTTTAAGGCATAAAGTATAACATAGTATACCATACAATGTATGCAACATATAGGTAACATCTATAAATAAACATCACTTATTTCATGTAGTTAGTAATAAAATATATTTGGTGCAGAGACCACACTTATTTCTAGTCAATCCCGTGTTTATGCCAATACACAGAGGCGCTTGGTTAATAACACATTAAAACAATACAAATAGTTTTGTGTTTCACCCTTATTGTCCCTCATTTGTTTCCGTTCCTTCTGAACATACACGCTTGCGCAAAGAAGCACCACCATCCCCGCTTCTCCTCGCAGGTAAGTATCCAAGATCAAGCCACTCGATTTTTTTACACCCTCCCTGACCATCTGAATAAGTATACGTGCATTTCTTTCACCGATCTTTAAGATGAGTAACAATCTGACCGTGAACCTGCATTAAATCCCCGTAAGTATCGTCTTGTGTTCCCTCGTTGTTTGAATGAGGGGCTCCACCGTGGCAATTCAGCACATTTGTCACTGTTCAATGAATTTACGTTTAAACATTGTTACGTGATCATACTGCCTGTAGCTGTCGAATAAAACTGTTTGATTTGAAACCGAATTTGTATCTCTCTGTGTTGGGCTCCAAAAACTACACAGTTTAATGACGTTAACGTTACAGTAACGTTATGATTGAGTTAGAGGTGAACTTGTCAGCGTTTAACGTTACTCTCTTTGTTTCAGATTTCTCTTTTCTTATGTAGCGTTGCGGCATTTAAACCCACGCTACTATAAATTAACATAAACTCGCCTTATGTGAGTATATTAAATGTTTCTATGTAGTCTCTTTAGCTATCATAAGTTGACCTAATAAAGCACTTTAATGTTAGCTAGCTGGCATAACTGTTAACGTTACAGCTAAAGCAGAAAGCAGCCACATAGATCAAATCATTATTTTAAGAACCCTGTCCTGTGCCAGTCTATGCCATTACAGTATTTGCTGAGAATTGCTGTCATTTCCAATGGTTGCATAACTAAGGAATGTGACCGTACTTACTAGTTTATAAGCAATTTCTTAACTTATTTCTATATCTGTTTCGTCTGTGTTTCAGGATTGTGCACAATAGATGGTAGTTTCCTCATCATGGCAACAGAAGATAAGAAACCAGAGACTGATACAAAACCCCCAGTTGTACCATCAGCATCTGCCAGTCAAAGCAAGGTTTGGGTTTAGCAAATAATTTTATGCAGCTTCCCACTTTATTGCAACTGCAGCACCATACTATTAGGTTATCTATGGTAATTATAGGCAGGGGTAGGAAATGTCCAGAGGTGGGACTTTGGAAAACTATTGTTTTTTTTTTCTTTTCTTTGTTGTCATTTTTATCTAAATAGATGTTTGCACGTGTGTCACACATAAGGGGAGATGTTTAAATGTCACGTTTTGTTTTTATTTACAGTCTGCACCCGCCAAACCAAACTACAGCCTGAAATTCACATTAGCAGGCCACACTAAGGCCGTCTCCTCCATCAAATTCAGTCCCAGTGGAGAATGGCTCGCTAGCTCATGTGAGTTCTCTCATGTTCCTTTTAAAACGTGGTCCATTGTAATTCAGTTTTGAAGATAATGTGTTATTTACTTTTTAACTATTATACTATATTTTACTGTGGTGAACTTAGAGTTATAGCAAAACTCAGTGCATGTCTTTGTCTTTGTCTTTACAGCTGCTGATAAACTCATAAAAATTTGGGGAGCATATGATGGCAAGTTTGAGAAAACCATATCTGGACATAAACTTGTGAGTTATTACTCCTGCAAGGTTCTTCTTCTGTTGTTTTGATGGGATTGTGTGTGTCATTTCATTTATTATTTTTGATCCGTATTTTCATTTTTAAAACAATACTTTGGTTTAGCTTCATGCACGCACCCATAAGACACAAGCCATGGCTTCATTAGTTACTTTTCTTACACATGCTATTTTAATCAGCGCTTCCAGTATATGTTCTCAATTCTTACCCATGAATCTGCAGGGCATATCTGACGTGGCCTGGTCATCTGACTCCAACCTCCTGGTGTCTGCATCAGATGATAAAACTCTGAAGATCTGGGACGTCAGCTCTGTAAGACAGCAGATGAACTGAAATGACTGTGTATAATTGACTTAACAATATTGCTGAACTAAACGTGCACTACTAAAGATAAAGGGTAGAATGGCTTACATTTAATTTTAGGGGCTGTGGTTGGTGTAAAATGTTTATCACGAGTGAAGCTGCAGTTCCGCTGTGAATTAAGCGACAAGATCTCATGCTGGCTGTGCTGTGAATGAGAAGTCTTTTTTTTTAATGCCTCTTGCCAGTGAGTATGTGACTTTTTTTCTTTTCTTAATTCAGGGAAAATGCCTAAAAACTCTAAAAGGTCACAGCAACTACGTGTTCTGCTGCAACTTCAACCCCCAGTCTAATCTGATCGTGTCAGGATCAGTGAGTATTAAGCTTTTGGCACCAAACGAGCAGCAAATGGAGCCCAGATGTTACACCACTACTACAGGCTGCACTCTGAGCATCATAAGCCTGTCTCTGGCAAATGGGCAAACGCTGACAAGTGTTTGTGTTTTTTTGCTTCCAGTTTGATGAGAGTGTAAGGATATGGGACGTGAAGACCGGGAAATGTTTGAAAACTCTGCCAGCTCATTCGGACCCTGTCTCTGCTGTAAGTTTGTTGTTTTATTCTCCATGTTAGACGAGTCTCCTGGATTACCATGGTAACAGTAATGTGATGATCTGTCTTGGCACACAGGTTCATTTCAACAGGGATGGCTCCCTGATTGTGTCCAGTAGCTACGATGGCCTTTGGTGAGAACAAACCTTTTGTTACCTCTTTTTACATCAATTTCACAGCAGTCAAACAACTGACTGTAGAACGTAACAAAGTATATTTACTGAAGTACAGTACTTAAGTACAATTTTGAGGTATCTGTACTTGAGTATTTTCATTTTCTGTTACTTCACTGCTTATAGAGGAAAATATTGTACTTTTTACTGCACTATATTTATTTTATGACTTTAATTACTAGTTACTCCTTATAACCAGATTTATACAAAAACTACAGACCTCATTGATCTGTGATGGAAAATTCACAAGCTATGCAGCAGTAATTCAAATTAAGTGCATATAAGCCAGTTAAAACTAGCTCCCCCTTTACCAGCTGCTACATTAAATGTGATGTACACAATAATGCATCAATAATTATAATACAATAATATGATATACAGGAATGTGAAGCATGCCATTCTGCACAATGAGTGCTTTTACCTTTAGTACTTTAAGATTGTCTTGATGCTAATACTTTTGTGCTTTTCTTAATTAGCATTTTGAATGCTGGGCTTTTACTTGTAACACTGTTGTATTGCTACTTTTACTTAAGTAAAGGATCTGATTACTTCTTCCACCACTGGTTCTAAATGTACCTTAAAGGGACTGCAAGGTAACTGTGATTACTGAGAGAAACTAATTACAACTCTATCGGCATTATAAAAGATTCACTTAATCTGCTCACATTAGCCTGCTGCAGTCTGTTACTCTGCTGCTGGGACAGCGTTTTCAAAAATACAAGACCCTTTGACAAGAGTTGGCAACAAGAGTTTTTTTTCTATGTGCTGTAGTTTGCACGATGTTTTGACAATACCTAAAATGTGGAGGCTGATGTGGATGACTCTACTGCAGATAGCACATCCACATCCAGTCTCACAATTTGTGTTTATTCCTTGGGTTGTGTAACAATTAACTATGTTAATTCCTAATGAAATAATGTTGTTGTTTTTTTTTTTAACATTCACAGCCGAATCTGGGACACGGCCTCAGGGCAGTGTTTAAAGACACTCATAGGTAAGATCAGCCACTATTTCACATCTTCAATCCCCTTGACATTGTATTTTGTGTAGATTTTCTCCTCGTATCTATTTATTAGAAACATTATTATAAAATATTTATTTGTGTGTTGACTTGGTTGCACAAAATTGTGATTATTCCTTTGAGAACAGAGGCATAAAATATGTAGGTGAACACTTTCTGAAGACACCGTGTTAAGTATTGAGACATTTTTCATCCCTGTCTGCGTGCTGACGGTGCTCTTGTTGTGTTTGTTAGACGACGACAACCCTCCTGTGTCATTTGTGAAGTTTTCCCCCAACGGGAAATACATCCTGGCTGCTACACTGGATAAGTAAGTATTATCTACGGTAGAGTATTTGGGTCAGTATGGGTTCCTCCAGAGGTAGAACACTATAATAAGCTTTGCTCAGCTGCAGGTTTGTGTGCATGGGGTGTACATTGATTATTTATAAAAAAAAGGGGGTTTTACATAGTTTTGATGTTTAACAGATGTGCTGCTGTATTTCTGTGTATTTTTCAGCACGTTGAAGCTGTGGGACTACAGCAAAGGAAAAGTGAGCTCATTTTACAAACATTCATGAGTCAAATTTATAAACTGAGTTATTATATTTTATTATAGGATACAAAGAATGTGAATGAATCTTATGTTTCCAAGACAGTTTAATATATTTAGTGTGATTCAAACATCTTTGTTTTTCCTACATTTCAGTGCTTGAAAACATATACCGGCCATAAAAATGAGAAGTACTGCATTTTTGCAAATTTCTCTGTCACTGGTGGAAAGGTAAGAACTCTTGTTGCTATCTATGAGTGTATGTGTCTTTTAATGTAACTTTCAGGATTTCTTCTATTTGTTTGAGTTTGTTTTAGTAAGTTAAACTCACACCTAAATCTAAGCTGTTGTTTTGCAGTGGATCGTGTCGGGCTCGGAGGACAACATGGTTTATATCTGGAACCTGCAGACGAAAGAGATTGTGCAGAAACTCCAGGGCCACACAGGTACAGGACACACACTTGGTTTTGCGAAAATGCAGATTTGAATCAAACTAGGATTAAGATCAGTCATCTTTTTAGTAAAGTAATAACTTTTTTTTTTTTTATTCCACACTGCCTTGTTTAAAGAGAAAGCAGAATCATGCATCTGTTAACCTTAGAAAAGACGCGAGATTTTATTTTTAATGTATTTGTGACTGTGCCAATCTAATGTACTCTGGGTGCCATGTTTAGTGTTTAAGCAGTTTCAGTTTTGCTTCTCATCTTTTTTTTTCCCCCAGATGTCGTCATTTCAACTGCCTGCCACCCAACAGAGAACATCATCGCATCTGCAGCTTTAGAAAATGACAAAACCATCAAGCTTTGGAAAAGCGACTGCTAAGCCGTTTTGGATCTTTTCAGCCATTCACTTTTCTTTTAGGTTTCTTTTTTCCCTAGGTTTTGTCATAAGAAAAGAAGACTTTTTCTAACAGCTCCTGGATGCAGAGGGCTTTAAGGTAATGAAATTCAGCAAGGAGAACCAAATGACAACACACATCAGCCACATACAGTAAGAGCCGCATCAATTCTGCAGCGGACGCGTTCCCCTCGTCACACCTCAGATGGCCCATGTTAACAGACAAATGATTCCATCTGTCTGTTAACATGGGCCAGATCGACTGGTCTCATTAGGGAAATGGATCATTTCTTTATAACAGTGTTGTGGTGCTTCAGTATGTTCGACACTGCGTTAACCTTGATGTCAATGATTCATAGTAGCATTTCGGATCTTGTACAATAAATGTAATGCTTATTTGGCCTTTGTACATTCCTTTTGCTTTTTAATTTGCCTGTGTAATTGTGTAGTATTGACTAACTGGGTTCAAGTAGGTGACTGACATCGAGCTTGAGGTATCCGAGTACCCCTTTTTGTCTGTTATCATTCAAGTGGTGCCATTATTACTGTTCTAATTAAGCACTGTGTGCCATAACAAGGCATTTATACATTTTTATTATAAGGGTAACAAAGCTAAGCTGTTGCTTTTAGTGTGACAGTTGGGACATTTGTGAATTAAATCAAAAATGCCTCAAGAGAATGTCACAGTGTGGTCTAATTATTATTATTATTATTATTATTATTATTATTATTTATAGTTCATGGAATGAGCTGAGACCATTCCTTTAAAAAAACTCTCTCTTATTTTAACATTTTAAAACAGTGACCAAATGAAGTTTCTGTGTTTGAGTATTACTTTACCATGTATTGTGAACTGATTACTTTAGCTGTCTTTGTTTTTATGTTCACATTTGCTTGATTAGCTCATAGTTTGGCGCACAATGCCAGCAGCATGTGTTCACTGTAGTTAACCTGAATTTTGTGAAATATGTTTGCTTTGGACAGCTACAATCTGCAAGTTAATAAAACCAGCTTTTGTATGTTTCATGGTACTGAGTCGTGAGTGAACAGATCAGTGTTAATGTTCACAGGAATCTTTGACACTACGCTGAATCAGCTGCCATCAGTCACATTCACATTAAGTTTTTTAATAACACTTTGTCCATGAAAGAGAGAACATCAGAAAAACCCACATTGAACAGATGACATTCAATCTCTTTAAAAACAGACAAAATATAATGAAAGAAAACAATCCCATCTTGCAGCAACAGGTTGAAAATGGCAAAATAACGGCGACACGGTTACCAAGGTGCCAAAGCCAACTATTCCTCTCATTTTCAGTCTGAAAATGTACTCTTGCCTCATCAAATATGTTTTTCCACAACAAGAACAAGAGTCCACAGAGGAAAAGGAACAAATAAAGTACATAAGCAAGGGATAAAATTACCTTTGTACAAAAATAGATGTTTTCAATGTTTTTTTTTTTTTTTTTTTCACTTGAACATTTTACTGTCTATGCAACAAAGAAAGCAGTGATTGTGTCACAAGCTCAGCTTTTTCCTGATTACACTTTTTGCACATACAATTGCCAAGCAACACATACATTTAGGAGGGTTTAAAGTCTTAACCTTTTTTGTTTGTTTCTTTTTAAGCTTTCATAGTTTGTTGAGGTCCCATAAACTACAGAGAAGCTGGTTTTGTTGAGTTTAGAGCTGCTGGTTCATAATGATTAATTTTATAAAGGTAAGGTCAAAATGCAAAAATCCTCAGATATTTGTAGGAAAAAAACTGTAAAACTGTGTGGAGGAACACCTGGTGTCAAACAGTTTGGTCTGAAACACTTGTCTCCCTCTTTCAGTATTGGTACTCCTGAAGGAACTGCTCTGTCAATATACTGTATATTTATAAATATATACACATATACATATTAACAAAATATAGCTTTATGTGATAAAGCATTCATGTAGGTTATCATTCTCTGCAGATGATCATTTCTTTACCTAGTGTAAAGCCTTTCCTGCAGGGGAGTGAGCTCGCACATCGTCCACTTTATGGCTTATGACACCTGTCCTCACCAATAATAGTAAATTAAGAGGAGGAGACATCATCAGACTCAACAAAAACTGATTCACCCAGTTGAAAAACATGTAAGTGTTTAATATCTGATTTTCTTGATTAAAATCTGAATTCTGTTAAAAAAGAAGCCAGTAATTCGAACCTGATCTTACATAAATAGCTGAACAAGAGTAGAGTTTCTCTTTGCCAAAATGCTTAAGTTGAAAATTTAAGAGCACATTCAAAATTTCTTTTGTTTTAACACACAGATAAGTATAATTTTCCAGAGTATAAATACTGTAAACTGAGCCCAAGCTGGCAGTCAATACTATCACCTGAATAGTTTGTAATAAATCAGGCCAACGCACTGAAGCTAGTGAGTAATAACAAAACAAGCCAATAGGCTATACTGAAGTTATTGCTACTTTTTTCAGTTTTCTCAAGCAGACACTGAGGTTTTGTCTGATCCAGAGGAACACTGATAATAACAATGCTTTGAGAAAGTGCCATCTTTTCGTCTGATTAAAAATACTTGTAGTAAAATTCAAGTAATGTTGCAGCACTGCTTCTCTTCCACTAGAGGATGCTCACAGCTCATGAATCGCTGTGGCATCCCCTCGCTCACTCTCTCTTATCCAAACTGCTCTCTGAACTGAAGTGCACAGTATTGTGACCCTTCCGAGCTGGAATCTGCCTTTTTTCTTTATAAGGAAAACGATCACTGGACACATGGTGTCTTTGCTGGAGTCAGCGCCCCTATGGAGTCCTGATGGCGCCATCAGAATAACTAGAGATAATGATTATTAATTCATAAGTTTGCAAATTGGGGGTAAAAGCTGAAATTAACTAATCACTAATGGCAGGTCAGACAAATTAAAAGCTCCTGTCACTGCTCTGTGGGTTTGACTTACATTTTAAGTGACCTGCAAGTACAAGTACAAGACACTGCAAGTAAAAGCAGTTGTTTAAAAAAAAAACTCAGAAGGAAAATGTTAAAGTGGGAGACAAATTAATTGTGAGAATGTTAGGAACATGGAACACTAAAAAAAATAACAAAAGCCTATTTAAAAACAGAATTGTGATTCAAGTTTAAAATTCAATTATTTCTTTTTTTAAATAAGAAAACAGCACCTTTAATTGGCAAATTATCTTATGTTACAACATTTAGATAGTAATCTAATCTTTTAAATTTTACAATGTATTAAGTGTTTATAATTAAACTCTGAAATACAGATTACTGACATGGCATGCTGAAGACTCCATACCTTCAACTTAACTTTCTCAGTTTATCAAAGGATGATGAAAACACAGTGCTTAGGGGTTTTCTTTTTTTCCTGGTCCAGATAGTCAAGGTGCTTATGAAAAAGTGGTGGATATGCAAATAAAGAATGAAAAGCTTTATATAAGATGAATTTAATTCTGTTTTAGCTCTTTTCTTATGTTTTACTCTGCTATTATCTCCATGTCCTTAACTTCCGCTATTCTCCACTGTTCCACAAAATGTAATAAGTCAAGGCCAAATAAACCAGTGCAGAATGACTATCAAACATCTGAGCAGTGAGTGAAAATAACCTAAAAGACCTACTCCAGCCCAGGGAATTATTACAGTGGACCCTCACTTCACAAGCCGTACTTACTACGCACCCGCTCTGCAGTCAGTCTTTGGAAATGCACTTGATGCATAGTTTTGCAGCAGCTGCAGCATTTAGAGAAGAGGGAAAAAAAGCTGAATATGGGCATAAAGCACATTTATACATAACATGAAGATATTAAACATTTCACTCCGACTTGAATGACACTTGGTTGTCCAGAGAAGTGCAGAGAGCAAGTATGTGTGTGTCTCTGAGGAGGAATATAACGGGTGCATTCCTGACTGGGCATGGCCCAAATTCCACCTCAGAGGTCTAGTACATTAACATAAGCTCTCCATTTAGGAACCTGACTCCACTGTCATGAGGTTAAGTGCCAAGTAAACATATAATGGCTCTGCTGCAATGACACACACTTCTCCCTGTGTACTGTAAAAAGGTTAAAGAGAGGCAAGAACTGAAGATTTGAGGGATGGAAACAGAGGTAACTGTGCATTGCTGTTGTTAAAATGAAAATACTGTTTACGGTTGTAACTTTCTATACAGGTAGATATGAGGTGTTTTGAAGAGCTAGTTTTCCCTGTGTTCAGCAGATGGATTTCAGAGTGTGGAGGTGTAAATAGTGTGTTAAAATTCACATGAAATAAGAAATGGGGAGGATGAAGAAAGGACGAAAAGGAGCTCAGAGGCCCGCGAAACAATGATATTTCCCATCAGATGAGACTGTGCGCTCACTTTCCAGCCATCCAAGTTTGTTGTGATTATGTGCCAAGTTTTGATGGAGACCAAATGTTGAAATTAGGATGAGAAATGGTGTTCCTGCGCCTGCTAGTTGCCTTTCAGAGCCTCCTATGATGCTCATGTAGCATAAAGCTAATTTGAGGCTATTTACAGCATCCCGCATTCTCCTGTGTGTAGAGAGAACTGCACAGATTGTACATAACAAGCTCTCGCAACTCGGTCAATTAATACATTAACTGAAGAGCTGATTAGTCAGAAGATGTTGTCCTCCCCAATGTTGCACAGTGCTAACAGAGTAAGACATAGTTGTATTTGTTGGAACTGGACAGAGACCTGAGGTTTTTGAGCACTTGCAGTCTTGGTAATCCACCTCCGAGTTCTACTCCAGAAAGCACACACTTCAAAAACTGCTAGTGCAAGACCTGACTTGTTCAGCTGAGTCAGGCAGGAACAGAATGGTTCCTGTAAGCAGTCACATTTTTCCCCACCGTCGCTCCCTGAAGTAAGCTCAGTCCTGAAAGACAGAGATGGCTCAGGTCCTAGTCTAGACAGCCTGAGGCTCTCCGAGTCTGTGATTGTCCTGATCACAATGCTGAGTGTCTCGATATGACATCATCACCGTTTGTTTTGAATATACCTGCAAGCACAACTGTGGGTGTTAAAACCTGATCATCTCTGCTTTTTCTTGTCAAGCTGTAGGAACCATCCATCCATCCATCCATTTTCCTCCGCTTATCCAGGACCGGGTCGCGAGGGCAGCAGTCTAAGCAAAGATGCCCAGACTTCCCTCTCTCCAGACACTTCCTCCAGCTCCTCCAGGGGAATGCCAAGGCGTTCCCAGGCCAGCCGAGAGACATAGTCCCTCCAGCGTGTTCTGGGTCTTCCCTGGGGCCTCCTCCTGGTGGGACATGCCCGGAACACCTCCCTAGGAAGGCGCCCAGGAGGCATCTGAAACAGATGCCCGAGCCA